GCGCCGCCAGCCTGGCGGACTTCGTGGAGAACGTGGAGTGGCGCGTGCTGGGCTTCCCCGCGCGGCGGCGCGTGCTCACCTACGGCTGCTGCTCCGAGCCCTACCCCGACGTGACCTTCACGCTGCTCCTGCGCCGCCGCGCCGCCGCCTACGTGTGCAACCTGCTGCTGCCCTGCGTGCTCATCTCACTGCTCGCGCCGCTCGCCTTCCACCTGCCCGCGGACTCGGGCGAGAAGGTGTCGCTGGGCGTCACCGTGCTGCTGGCGCTCACCGTCTTCCAGCTGCTGCTGGCCGAGAGCATGCCGCCGGCCGAGAGCGTGCCGCTCATCGGTGAGCCCGGGGAAGCCTCGGGTGACAGGGGCGTGCGTCCTGGGAGGTTAAAGGGAAGGAGTAGACGCCTTCCTGGGCGAACCCCGGTCCTAGCGTCCGGAAAGTCCCAGTCGTTTCTCAAGGGCTTGGCGCACGGAGAGCTGTGCCCCGCCCCCCATGTTTTATTTTATTTTTATTTACTTATTTTTGGTGTTTTGAGATAGTCTCACCATGTAGTTCAGGCTGGACTTACTTGAACTCATTGTGTAGTGCACACTGACCTCAAACTCATGGCAATCCTCCTGCCTCAGCCTCCTGAGTGCTAGAATTACAGGTGTAAGCCAGCGCGCCGCGCCCCGGTGTTTTAAACATAGGCAAGGGCCATGGATATAGGTCAGCGGCATAACCGCCTGCCTGGCAAGCACAAGGTCCTGAGTTCGATTCCTGGTACCAAAAAAAACCTAAACATAGGCAACATGTGCTGAGCACCGGCTGTGTGCCAGTCGCTCTCCTGTGCACTTCATATGGGGTAAGCAGCAACACAAATCTATAGCATAGATTCTGTCGTTAGCCCAGTTGCACAGAAAGGATGTGAATTTGCCCCAGATCATGCCCATAACTGTCAGAGCCTCCTGAAGACGAACAGGTAGCTTCTGAAAATTCGCCGGCAGCAGAGAGATGGGGGAACTTGACTCTTACCTCCTTCCATCCTTGGGCTTGATGGGCCTGTTCAGATTTGTGGGGGAGGCAGCAGGGAAGCTTAGGACCCCCAAGCTCTGGTGCTGGGCCTCAGCTGGCTGTCTGTCTCTTGCAGGGAAGTACTACATGGCCACCATGACCATGGTCACTTTCTCAACAGCACTGACCATCCTCATCATGAACCTGCATTACTGTGGTCCCAGTGCCCGCCCAGTGCCAGCCTGGGCTCGGGCCCTCCTGCTGGGACACCTAGCCAAGGGCCTGTGCGTGCGGGAACGGGGCGAGCCCTGTGGGCAGTCCAGGCCACCCGAGCCAGCCCCTAGCCCCCAGCCCCCTGCTGGCCGCCCAGCAGGCCCTTGCCACGACCCACAGTGTCTGTGTCACCAGGAAGCACTACTACACCACGTGGCCACCATTGCCAGCACCTTCCACAGCCACCGGGCTGCCCAGCGCCGCCACGAGGACTGGAAGCGCCTGGCCCGCGTGATGGACCGCTTCTTCCTGGGCATCTTCTTTTCTATGGCACTGGTGATGAGCCTGCTGGTGCTGGTGCAGGCCCTGTGAGGGGCTGGGGCTGGGTACCAGGGAGCTGCTGCAGCCACGGCACCTCCGGGCAGGGGTGGCAAAGCCCAGGAGGTGTTTGGTTCTCAGAGAAGCCAGCCAGCCGCTCCGCAGTAGGGCACCTTCTCTTCAGGACCACTGATTGCACAGTCCGTAGGACTCCTTGTTGTCTACGTGTCCTAACTACTCCCCTAATTCCTAAAGGAGAACAATGTCGGTGCTCTTTAGTTAGAGCTCTCAAGGGGGTTAGTGCAGTTACTGTACCAGAAACAGAGCCGCTACATTTCCTGTCTTGCTAGGTAGCTGCTGCTGCAAGGACTTAGTCTTGCCATCCTCGCCTGAGGGCGCAGGGAAGGAAATTCATGTTTCCAAAGCAGGAGGCCAAACAGACATTTGGCTCCAGAGCCTCCACCATAATAAAGAAAATGGGCACCTGGCGCCTCCCGGGTATCCTGTCTTCCCCTTGGGCCTGTGGTGGTGGAAGTCAAGGATCCAGGTTCATCTGTACAGACAAGAGCTTCAGAACTCATGGATCAAAGCAGAGATTACAACTCAGCAGAAAAATAACTAGGATAGCGGGAGAGAGCCCAGTTCTCCCTCTGCATTTCTCCAGGTCTTTGTCTTCTGGAGTTAGATACAGTCCACCCCGTTCCCACACAGATGTTCAGAGAGGTGGGAAGTGTCAAAGTAGGGCCAGTGCAGGGATCTGTCATCCAGGCATCAGTTTCTTGCTGACTCGTATGGCAGCTGGTGCCATCTCTGTGCCTCGGACCTAGTCTTGCCCTCAGGAACCAGGGACTGGGACCCACAGGAACACAGAGGCGGGGATCCGAACCCAGCCAGTGGCAAAGGCCAGAGCGGCTTTCTGAGGCGTGATGGGGTGCTGTCCAGGTAGGCGTGTGAGGCGTTGGAATCACACAAGTCCCATGGCCCAGTGCTCTCCCTTACCCCAGCGACCTTTCGATAAGTTGAGGTCTCTGGGTGAGCGGCTGCCTGTCCTGGAGTCCTCGCACCTCCAGTGAGAGGCTTGCTCCTGGAGCCCGAGGTTTAGGCCCCACATTCTCTCCTGTATCTCCACCAGAGGTCCGGCAGCCGCAGATGGGTTTACCAGGGAGCCGGAGCACACTTAGAGCACACGCGTGGCCAACGTCCTCCGCCCGGCAGAGGCTCAGGCGGGGCTGCTTGGTGTGTGATGGATCAGAGCAGGTCTGGGATTGCTGGCAGGGCCTCCAGGAACCACAGCGACAGCAGCAGGGACCAGACAGCCGAGAGGGAGCCCTGATGCGTGGCTGCAGGGAAAACAGGCAGGGGAGGAAGGGAGAGAGTTAGAGCACGACGAGGACGTGAAGATACGACATGGAGGGACTGGCGGCACGAGCCCAGAGGCCTGACACACAGTGTGCCAGGAGACGGATGAAGGGTAAGGATGCAGGAAGGAGGGAAGAGAGCCCCTGCTGCCCACCCAGAAGCCGTCAGGCGCCACCCTCTGCCTTCAGAAGGCACAAGCGAGGTACTGCAGGGTGGGCTGGGACGTGGGGTGGAGAGCTGAGGGGGCCCCAGTGACTCTGAACTTGGCTCCTCTGCCCGTGCCCTAGTCAGAGACATGCTCAGTGGGCTGTGGGGGTAACAGTTGAACTTTGCCAGTGCCGGGCATCACCTTAGGGCTCAAAGAAGAGGCCTCAGTTGGATGCTGGAGACCCGGCTTCTGGTCCTGCCACTAACTCAGTAACCTGGGGCGAGTCACTTCTGCCTCATTTGGATTTTGCTTTACT